ATCCTTTATTTCTAAATCTGCCGTGCTGTATCCAGTGTCCCCCTGTGTCATATTCATGCCGTCTCACTGTGTGCTGTATGTGAAATTAGCGTTACCCTGTCAAAGGTTAAAGTCAAAAAAAGTTTTTTTTTTTTAAATATATCGAGTAACACTAATAGAGAGATACAACCGCGATCGGACGATAGGAGCAGATCACGCGTGACTGATGAGAGCTGTCTCGGTACTATAGTACAGTCTAAATCCTGATATCATCTCTCCGAGAAAGAAATCCTGATTGAAAGTCCTCGCAGATATCATCTGTTCGAGAAAGAAACACAGTTGTGAGGATACTGCTTTTTCCAGTATCTTTGACAGAAAAGGCAGGTTTGAGATCGGCCTGTGATTGACTCATTCTGGAGGATCAAGTTTTTTTAATAAGAGGTTTAATAATAGCCAGTTTTCGGTACATATCCAAATGACAAAGATTAATTTTAAATGATTTTAAAGGGTCAGTTCACCCAGAAATGAAATCTGAGCTCTTTCTGTCCCTCCGGTGACAGACGCGTCATTGACAGACACACAGATGAAATAGTCCATGTGACTACAGCGGTTCAACCTTAATATTATGAAGCGGCGAGAACACTTTTGTGACGCAAATGATGAGAGAATATTACAATATCCGCATTGGTGTTTGGATGAGCAAAAGTCTTATGGGTTTGGGATGACACGAGGGCGAGTAAATGATGACCGTTTCATGGTGTGGGTGAACTGAACCTTTAACTTGGTTTCAGGGGTTGATGACCTCTACAGGAGGAAGTCCAGTGAAAACACTGCGTTTGTCTCTTCAGTTGCTTGTAGATCCAGTTAATAAAGAGCCAGGTGCAGTGTGTGTGCTGACCTCTGATCTCTTGCAGGAGAAGCTGCTGGACTGGGCGAAGGAAGTGGCCCGATCCAAACCCAGCGGCACAGATGCCAACCTCATCGCGGAGGACTTCGTCGTCAGTGTACGTGGAACATCTCATTGTTTCTCTCATGTAGTTTGTGGTCTTTATCTCGTCCTGTGAGGTAATACAGTTATAGTTTTAAAATGCCAGTGTTGCGGGAAAGGGAACATTTATTACCAGTTGAGAAGTGCATGCTTGATCATGTCTTTCCCTTTTTTATTGTGACATGACTGCTGATGTAAGCGGTGTGTTGTGTAGTACAGCATGTCAAACTGTCAGCTGTCCTCGTTTGTTCTTCAGGTCATTCACATGGATTATGGAATGAAGGAGAAAAACCCCATCAACAACGTCCATTTCTACTGTAAGAACGATCCCAGCAAAGCCATCAAGATCCGCAAGAAACAGGTAACAGATGTTCAGGAAGATCCTCTTTAGTCCAGCTGACCAGGCTGCAAGACAACTTTATTTATGGCACAGCTCATAGACTATGGCAATTCAAAGTGCTTTATACGGCAAGAAATTAAAATCACAAAATAAAAGGAAAGAAAATTAAAACAGACGTCCCCCATGAGCCTCACATCGGACAGGAGATTAGGTGCAACGTAATCAGGGGTAACACTTTATTTCCATAGTCCACTTTAGACATTCTACTAACTATAAGTAACCTTTCAACTACATGTCAACTAACGGTCATTAGAGTATTAGTAGACTGTCTGCTTAATATCTGCTAACACTTTATGTTGTTGGTCCCCCAACAGACATTCAACTGACTGTAAGTAAACTTCTTCTCCTAACCTGAACCCTAACACTAACCATAACCTACCAGTCTACGATAATATACTAATACTCTAATGAGAGTTAGTTGACATGTCGTTGAAAAATTACGTATAATTAGTAGAACGTCTAAATTGACTATCGAAATAAAGTGTAACCTAATCGGGTATAGTCACTAACAAACAAGTAGATTTTCCAGTTATCAGTTATCAGGACACGCCGATCGGAGGATGGATGGAGTCTTTGGTAGAAAGAAAGAAAACCTGAAACATGACCTACGACAGCGCTGACACAATCAGTGGAGCCACGTCCGCACACGGCCCCTAACAAGAACACACACAACCGAGGACTTATAGGTGCAAAATCCAAATAAACCCTGCGGAGAGATTGTGGATGTGAGTTTAGATGTGGGGGATCGTTCGTTTGATGATGGCGTTACGAACTGTTTTCTGTTCAGTGTATTACCACAAAGACAAACATGCGTGTCTACAGAGTTGATGTTAGCTTGAATGAGAACACCTGATGAGGTGGCGTAAAGCCTGTGTGGTCTGACAGGTGTCCAAACTCCTGCCGGAGCAGTTCGCGGAGCAGCTGATCAGGGTCTTCTGCAAGAAGACGGACGACAAGAGCCTAGAGGCGGCCAAGAAGTACTTCGTCCAGTGGTGCATGGACAGCAACTTCACTAAACCGCAGGTGGGACATCTCCAGCTCTGCGTACACTCATTGAAATGGACATTTTAACAAACAGACTATCTATTGCTCAGTTTATGGACACATTTGTGTTGTTTTTGTGCACATATTATTGTAAGGTTTAGTTAAACAATGGTTTGAGAATGTACACAGTGAATGGTGTGGACTAGAGCCCGACCGATAACGGATTTTGAAGGCCAATACCGATACAAATATTTTTGGGTTTTAAAATCCGATATTCCGATATATCGGCCGATATTTTATTTATTTATTTGAAACTGGACATGATAGTCACAAATTTTGTCATGCTTATTTGAGTTGAGAGAACTGATGGAGATGATCTTTTAATTGTTATTCAAGCGATGTATGTCTCGTGACCAACTCAACGAGTGTTGCCGACAGGAACGGTGTAGAGCGCCCTCTGGTGGACAAACTACACAACTCCAACACTCATGACATGGTTCAAGCGTGTTTCGTCCGTTTTTATTTTATTTTTGAAACATTCGTTTATCGGCCATTATAACTGCCGATACCGATAGTTTGGAAAATGCCTAATATCGGCCTGGCTCTAGTGTGGACTGATCGAACACTGGTGCCGTGTGTTGTGTTGCAGGATGGAGATGTGATCGCCCCAGAGCTCACGCCGCTGAAGCGAGACTGGCACACGCTGGAGCAGGACGACAGCGACAGCGACCACAGGGAAGACATGCGTCCGGGAACGAGAGATCAGACGCCCAAGAGGACGGCACGCAATATTAAAGTCAACCTTTTTCAAGCTCAGGGAGAACGCAAGCTCTGAAGAACCGGCCGGGATCTCAAACAGCTTTCAGACGCTCATTCAATCATCCAACGTGTTTTCAAACTTCAGTTCCTCTATTGAGTTTTATTTTCTTGTTCTTTATCAGGGTTTTAATTCAGGTCAAGCTTTATCATGAACGATCACGTCTCTCTCCACCATCATGCTTTGCCACAGAGAGAAAGGTCTTCTGTTATTTTTTATTTATTTAAAAGGTTTTATTAGGGACTCTCTGATACTAGTTCATGTTGTTGAACAGCCACTGCTCAGTTCCACTATACTGGGTCTTTTCTCAAGTGTGATGACAGCATATATAGTATATATCTTTATTTGGGCTGAATGTTTTTAATGCTTGAAATACTTTATATACCAGTAGTCGGTGGGATGAACCGTTTGTCCTCAGCGATATTTCATATGTTCTCATCTTATCAATACAGGGCTTTACTATGAACCAAAACCTGCATGATTGTGTTGTTGTGCTCGGTTAAACTCATTTAAATCACATTTCTTCACCGCACAATCACATCGAGTCAGTTGTGCTGGAAAATGTTGAGTTGACGAATGTAGTGACATAATGCATGTTGTGCGGGAGATTTTTCTGATGTAGTGTTGAATCAATGCAGTCTCAGTATTCCTGCACAGCGTGTGAATGAAAGTGTCCTTGACCAGCAAAAGGATCAAAACAGCAATGCAAGGAGAAACGGTCTGATTCTTCTCTCTCTTGTGTTCGTAGTGTGCTATATTCTTGATATGTTTATGCTTTACTGTTGCGTTGTGTGATTTATCTGGTGGATGTACAGTACAGAAGAGGATTCGCTGAGCGAAGGGCCGGTGGAGATGAGTGTGTCTGTACCAGATTTAGCAGTAAAAGCTCCACAATGATATTCGTTCTTTACAAAGAAAAAACGTCTTACAAAATTTAAAACCATCTATTGTGTTATGTGAACGATTAGGAGGATGATTTTCTGATCATTTTGAAGCAGAAACTCTAGGCGACTACATCCGTTAGTCAAGAGTCTTGTGGACGCATATTTAGCATGTGTTTTATGGCCTTATTTCAGGAACTTTCATTTTTAGTTTTTTCAATAACCATGCTTAAACAATATTCTCTCAAAAATACAAACATGTACATACATGCTGCTCACATATTATGGTAGCCCTGTTGGTGCTAAATAGAGTGTAATTTCACCTGTGTCATTAATATATTTATAAGCAACTGAAATAAGCACAAATGTCAGGGCATGTCAGAACATCAGAACAAACACCCTAGACCCCAGAGGGTTAACTCTTTCCCCACCAGCATTTCATTTAAAAAAAAAAAAAGAAAAGTTGCCAGCCACCGCCAGGCGTTTTTGACCATTTTTACTAAAATATTAACGGCCCCCAGAATATTTTTTCAGTGGATATCTGACCAGACTCTGCTCAAACAAACATAAAACATTGCATTAATGCTTCATGCATTCTTTTTTTTCCATCAACACATGAATATGGGTCAGTTTCATTAAAAAAGCTGAGAAAATCACGTTTGTGTCAGACTCCCTCCAGATCAGGTTCAGAAAGATGATCAAAATACAATAGATGGAGTCCATCAACACCCCTAATGCTTGCACGGGATCCCTGATTTTTGCATATTCTTCACATGTGTTTTCAGCAGGAAATTTAGCACTCTTTCAGAAGATGTCATAGCGCCCCCTATCGTAGAAAAAACAAAAAAAAACAAAGACTAAGACACAAATTCTGTCAATAGCAGGGAATGAGTAAACATTAATTGAAGGAATGGTCACTTTAGTTTAGTTTAGTTCCTTTATTGTCCACAAGTGGAAATTTGTCCTTGGCTTCACTATACATCACACACAAGGACACCAACACAAAAACATAAGAAAAAAAATACATAAATTAAAAACAGTAACATTACCATGCTGCTATACTTAGCTTACATATATCCCCCCCTAGCTCAAGGAGGACCTGATGTTGAGTACGGTAGAGGTCAGCCAGGGATTTCACCAGCTCAGTCGGCTGTGGGGGATTCATGGCAGCGTCATCCTCCTTCATTTTCGGCATCACTGTGCAAGTTCTAATGTTGAGGAGAGGAATGAAGTCGGCCAGAAAATTTAGATCGTAAATATGAGACTCTTCCAGTTATCATACTTTTTTTTCCATGCACTGGCAAATAGGGCTGAGTATCGTTCTCAATCTTTCGATCCGGTGCCAATTTCGACACCTCAGTTTCTATCCCGTTTCCGAATGATACTTTTTCCAATACCATATGTTGTAAAATCCATTTCAACATCAACAAAAATACATTAAACACAAAACTTTTATTATTAATAAAACTGGTTGTGCTTTTAGGATAGGGGTGCGCCAGCAGACACTCAGGATTGATATCAATCCTAACTTGAAGTAAAGATCAACATGTCTGCATTTTCTGGCAACAGACAGGCCCGCTCCTGGCCAATAGAAACTGTCCGCTCTGAGGGCGTCGATGAGGCTGGTACACAGAGGGGATAGCATTGGCAGTGTGTCCTTCATACTCCACCACCAACTGTGGACGGTGTACACGGCAAACCTCTGTAGAGCTGTATCTGCTCCTGAATCTTCCCTGAGGTGCTGGTCACGCTCTTGGCTCTTCCTCTTCAAAAATCTCCTCAAGGGCAGAAAGCTTTGCCTAAAAGCTAAAACAAAATAAGGCAACAATAATGGTAGGCGGACTCAAACGTACGTATTAATTTTCTTCTGAAAATGAAGCAGGAAGAAACAGGCTGTCCGTGTATATTTACCTGTAGCTGGCGCTGCACACGCTTCATCAGATAAGTGGTCATCATCACTGCCTCTTCATTGTCTTCTTTGGGCTGCTGGGCCTGGGTCCTGTCACCTTTATTCTGTATTTGTTGGAAACACAGGGATCATGTACATTGATTTGGTTTACAATGGAAGAGGACAAAGATCACCAGTAATAAGACCTGATGTGTGCCCTAGTAATCGGCTCCTTCTCTACTCTGGTGGAGCACCAGGTCATGTGTGTTCGTCAGAAGCTGCTACTCCTTGAGAAGAATGTCTTGCTGTCAAATGGAACATTGAAAAATTGAGGGGATATTGTTGGGATATTCTTCATCTCCTTTGCCTTCCTGAGTGAGTGAGTGAGTGAGTGAGTGATTTGATGCAACAAGGGCCATCTCAAGAAAGAAGTAATACCTCAGTTCACAGTTTCCCCCCACCTTATTAAGAATAAAGAAAATTACGTTTTGCCTTCCCTGCACTCCTGCCAGGTGAATCGTTTGTTCTGACACTCTGAGTTGAATCTCCCAAAACCTGTGTGTAGAGATTACAAACTCAAACAACTCAAAATTTACCTAAATCAATCAATGCACCATTTTTTTTCTGCCATACATTTATTGCCAAAACCAAAATTTTAAAATAAATGTTTTCAGTATATCACATCTGAAATGTCTTGGCAAAAAGTTGACAAATTTGATGACAATTACATGAATCCCCAAATAGGAGTATTTAAAAGTTTAACGCATGCACACAAAATAAAAAAATGTCAGACTTTCTGGGGCATGTAAATGTCAGGATTTAACAGCCTTTGCATGTCAGTGGGCCGGGGCAGCAGACTCTGCTCAAGCCATAAAACTTCCAGCAGTTCCAGTTAAAAGCCCTCCCCAGTTTTGGCCCCAATGTAATGATGTTCCCAATTCCAGGAAAAAATGAACGCAACTTTAATGACAAAATAAACAAACGCCATAGCAAAAGTAAGTGGCTGCCCCTCAAGGACGACTGCCGCACATGAGCTTAAAAGTCCCAGGCCTGGTCCTCTCGTCTTCCACTGTTGTAAATCCTCCTTTTATCCTTCCGGAGCTTCTCCGTGGGACTTGTGACGGGCGTGACTCATAGCTGTCGTTCATTAAGCTCGCTCCTTTCCCAATGCTCTTGGCCCCGCCCTGCTCATTACACAGCACTTAATATTGTATTTCATGCTATTATTTTTGATATTCAATCATTTGTGATGATAAATGAATTGACAAGTGAAAAAGTCAATTTTAAGCGTGTGACTCATATTTAGCTGCAATAATAATATGGAATGTAAATGCAAGAAATATGAAGCCACGTCCAGTCATTTAAATTAAATGAGTATTGTTAAAGTAAAACATTATTTTCTGCATAATCAATCATGTAATTTTATTTTATTGTATTTTTAGATACAGCACAGGGACTAAAGAAGCATCGCTGACAACCTCCACATAGACTCGTATTCCCGCTACTTTACAGTTATAGTCCATCATGACGTATCTCTCACCAGAGTTCAGTTACTACTCATAGAGGCAGTTATTGTTTGAAACACCACACTGACTACCTTTTTATTGTCATTTGAGTGCTTAGATTTAAAAATAGAAGCAGAGGTAAGAGAAGGTTACATACATCATCAAGATATCCCATAAAGCTGGGAAGGATGGTTCACTTGAGCTCTTTTACAGCTGTTCTAATAAAGCCATGCACTGCACTTCCACCCGTTTTAATCAAGTCCTTTTCGTAGGAAAATAGATTTTAATGCATACACAGGCTACATACATTTGTTGTAAATATTCCTAATATTCTGATTTTAACCAGGCGGTCGCAGCATGACTTTGATCAGTACAATTCAGGATGCTTTATGAGAGGCATATAAAACAAATAATGTTATTAAGTAGTAAACTCAAAGCCATCATCACTGTCTGGAGGTGTTTCTGCTCTTTGGATAGAGACAGCAAACACTCCAGAACACAATGAAACCAGTGCTCTAAACACTAAATCTGTAATAGACAGTGGATATGGAATGACAATAATAAAGATAGTAAAGGTGAAAACATCCCAAATAATAATTGTAAAAGATTACTTACATTCAGAATAAGACCCATCAATATGTGTCTATTTATCATAAGCTGAAATCACGGCCCTCGGGCATTTCCTTTAATACACCAGATACAGACAGGAACAGCCCGACTACATTTATTTCAAAGAATGCCCACACTAGAAAGAGCGACTGATGACAAATGTGTGATAGATTATATTGTAGGACTGTTATTGTTAGTAGTAATTTACTGTACATCATTTGCACTGCTGGAGCGTTGTTATTTGCAAGCGGATGGACTGATGACAGACGGGAGTTATCAAACTCTGTAAGGCAACACGACGGGGTTTAGCCTCAGCGTTACGGGAGAACAGCGGGCACAGCCTCACACTACATCAACTAGCCTAGCACTACATCTCATGCTGTTATGTGCTGCGGGATATCAATTCTAGTTGGAAAAAAAGTTAAAAAATATATGTTAGTGTCAAAATCACAAAATTTGGCTTTAGTGCAGCGGCTGTATGTACTTCAAAGGGATTTAACGTAATAAATTGCATCAAAAACACCATTATTTATAAAGCTTACTTGGATAACACACTTGGGCAACAATACAAATGATACATGTTAAAAGCCCTGAACTTTGATTATTAAGACAGAGAGAGAGACGTGGTAGGATAATAATTGTTCGTACATATTGTATTATAAAACATGAATAAAAAATGAAAGATACAAACGTTACACATAATATGTCGAGAAACAAATGTATAAATAAAGTAATAAAAAATATGATGATATTTAGAAATCAAAATATATTAGTCTCTATGAACTTAATTATATGATGTATGTACATGTATTTCAAATAAAAAATGATATGAACACAACCAAAATATACTAAAAACAACAGGAAAAGAATGCCGTCAAATGACGATGAAATGCGAAAGGGTTTTCTCTTTTCAAACTGTGTTACCTGTGATGGCACAGGAACATCGCAGTGTGTCTAGCTGATGTTTTCTACATAAGGCATTGTTCAGAGACACAGCACGAATCTGCTCGGCTCGAACAGTGAGAAACTGAACAGTTGTTTTTAAAAAGCCAATTTTTAAATCTGTCAGATTCAGTTTCATTGCATTTGTTTGTGTGGAGAAGTGTTACTCTTTCACTAAATAGTGAGCGGTATCAGAGTGTCTTGTCAACATTATCTTTTTTGTTGTACAGCAGAAGCCATAGTGCTGACATCTACTAGATACAGCAAATATTGACCATGCTTTCTAAACGATCAGATTCAGAAAAAGACAGTGCTGGCAGTCACTCCTACAGATATCACTTTTTTAAAACAAGTTGCATTTGTGCGCCATGTGAACAAGGCCAAAATCTGTCCTGAACTGCCGTATTTCTCCTGGCTGCGTCTGTGGTCGACTACACCTTATTCTACCGGAGTTCAGCAAGAGAACTTCCAGTTCAATCATCACTTGCTGTAACCTGGGAAGAAGAAAGGTGAGCGTTGTAAACAGTTTTCAGTGCTTGGATGGAATGTTATAAGCAATTGTCCTGCACTTTATTGGCGTCTGTCGGATGCATGTGTGTCGTTACGTGAGGGTGAAGCCGGCGGTGTTTATGGATGATGTTTCTCGCGTCGTATAGTAATATCCTGTCTAATACCATCAGTGCCTCTCATTCAAATGGTCAGGGACATGCATGTGTTAATTTGGCCCAGAATTCCTGTCACAGAAGTGGGGAAGCTGATGCTGGGCGGAGGCATGTTGGGATTGACGGGAGAGGTGGCGCCCGAGCTGTAGTGAGTGTTTTGGATCCTTGCGTCCGCTGTACTGGCCGATGAAGGAGCCGTCCTCGTTGAACTGGATGTCAACGCTGTCTCCGTAGTCGGCCAGACTGTCGTTACTGCTGCGTTTGCTCTCGCAGACAGATGGCTGACTGATGGAGCACTTCTCATTATCACTGACGGAGAGACAGACCACAGGTTTGGGTTACAGTCCAGCGGGAAACAGTCAGTGTACATGGATGATGGCGTCAGTGAATGTTCTTACCTCTCCAGAGATCTGTGCGCAAGCATGAAAGTAGAGAGACTTATGAACAGAGAGAAGTATTGACACTGTAATGTGACATAATCAGCTAACTGGCCTTACCTGTACTCTCCAAACGCGTCGTCTTTCATTGTTTCGGGCCCAGCATCCACCTGACCCTCCTCTTTATCTTTCACTGAAATCCAAAATATAGAGCGCAGCATAAATTCAGAGCGTCTCTTTTTGTTGACAACCCTATAAACATAGCAGCACTATTGTATACATTTACCGCTATCTAGATAAATATGTCAAGTACATTTCCCAGAAATCGCTGCCTAGACTCATCAGCCCTGATTGCTAGTTGTGGAACATTCGCCTTGTCAACTCTACCTATACAAGTCTGGTTAATTCAGTCATGAAAAAAACATTTATATTTATTTAATGATTAAGTGTTTTTATTGCATTGTACATGAATGTTCAAATAAACAATTCCATTAATTTGTAATTTGTTATAAGGACCATTCTTTTTTTTTTCCACAAAAAGTTCAAAAGCAGGTTCCCAAATTGACCGCTCCCCCAATTAGAGTTGAATAACTGTTGCTAATGAAAGCTCAATGTGTGTGTGTGTATTACCTGAGTACTTCCCTCCTTTGCTCTTCTTGATGTAGCACAGAATGAGCAGCACCAGCAGCAGCAGGATCAGGGCGCTGATGAGTCCGATGAACCAGCCCTGAGTTGCAAAGCTACTGGCAACTCCTGCAGCTCTGAGGAGAGAGACACGACACACAGCGAATCAGAGCACTGAACCCATGACACCATCCAGGGATGCTTTGTGACTGGCCTGTACCTGGTCCGTTGGTTTTGAAAGCCAAGGAAGTGTTTCCGGGCCAGATCTGCAGGAGGTACCAAACACCCGGATTCAGTCCCTGCAGCTGATAGAAGGCCTGTGTGGAGTTCACCTGCTCCGACTCTTCCCACGAACCACCGTCTACCACACACACACACACACACACACACACACACAACATCACTGCTGTGGTCATCTTCTTATGATTGATGAATCATCTGTACGAAACCTCTATCATTGATAGCGTATAATAGGGGTGGGCGATATGGAAAAAATATCATATCACGATTTTTTTAGGAAAATCACGATCACGATTCTATTTCAAGTTGGTTTTAATATTTTGCAAGTGGCTGTTCATTACAGCCAAACTAATGCCCCTATGTTAAAAACAAAGTCTTAGGTAACAAAATAAAAAAGAAAGGCATACATTTAGGCCA